AATGGAGACAGACAGACAGACAGGAGGGGATTTATTATGGGAACTGGCCGAAATGCTCACGGAAGCTGAGAAACCCCACTGCAGGCCATCAGCAAACTGTGGACCAGGAGAGCTGGTGATAGAATTTAGCCCAGGACCAGGGGGTCGCTGGTTCAAGTCCTGGAGCCTGAAAGTCTGAGGCCCAGGAGCTCTGATGTCCAGCGGCAGGAGGAAGAGCTGTCCCAGCTCAAGGAGAGAGAACCAATTTGAGCGTCCTCAGCCTTTTTGCTCTGAGGGCCTCCAGTGGGTTGCGGGCTGCCCACCCCTCCTGGGGAGGTGGAGCTTTACCTAGTCTGCTGACTCCAATGCCAGTCTCACCAGATGAATCCTCACAGATACACCCAGAAGTAACGTTTCACAGCAATCCGGCTTCCCTAAGCAGAGCCAAGTTGATACTGCTCACTAACCATTACGAAGAGAAACAATCAGGGCTGGATGGCCGCTGAGCTTCGCTGACCCCCTGCTCGTGGCTGTCTATGCTTGATGACCCCCTGCATTGGCTTCCCCACTGCATGGCCACATGTTCAGGCTGCGTCTGGCCAAAAGAAGCAGATGCTCGGCCTTGAGAATTTATGACACTGCTGAAGGGCTGCCGTGACACTGCGCCCCTTCCTCGTGGAAGAGGTAACTGAAACGTCTTCAGGCTGAGACCTGGTATGCTACCATCCTGTCCACACAGGGGTAGGTTAGTTCAAGTTCTGGGAAGCATGAAGTGGAGTCTGAATGGGATAGCAGAGGGCTCCTTTGCATGGAGCCTTTCGTTCCAGTTTCTTGATGCAACACCTTCTTGCATGGTCAGCTGCTGCCCTCCTCTTTGTCCTCTAAATGACCAAGAGCTGCTTTTCTTTCTGAGATTCAGAGCTGGGGAATAAAGCTAAATGCAGAGCAAGGGCTTTCGGGGAGGTGTGAGATCTTGAAGTGCTGGTCTTCCTGTGGCTTCAGGATCCTCCTCTACTATGCCAGGGTCTAGGTTACAGCATCTCTAAGATTCTTTCCAGTTCTAAAGCCACGAAGCCTTGGTCCCCAAGCACACTTTCTGACTGTGCCTTCAGAGCAGCCTTGGCATTATCAGGGGTGCCGGGTGTGGTCCCCGAGACCCTGAACCCAGATTGCTTATTTTCCCCTCTTTCTGCTCTTAGTGTCACTCCCCAGTTCTTCAACTTTCTCTTGTATATTCTTTTATTCCCACTCTGTCTTCTCTAACTTTCAAGGAAACCATATGTATTTATTGAGGCTAATGAGATACCAGACTCTTACTAATCCCAGGAAGTACATGGCTGGCTAGAAACAAAGTCTCCGTCCCTGAAGAAATCCCTGTCCAAGGTGGAGCGGCAGCTGCCAACCAACATCTCAGGACTTCCAGGGACCATAACCGGGGGCCAGAAGAACTTGGGCCAAAGGAGCTGAGGGCCTCCCGCAGGGGCCAGCATCTGACAGGGGATCTTTAAAGGGTGAGCTGGGTTTTCAGCCCTATTAGAAAGAAGGGGTTCCTGGGTAGGGACCGACGTGGTCTCTGCTGAAAGGCTGCCCGCAGAGCAGGTGGCTGGGAGGGCACAGGGTTAGGGTCTCTACCTGCCATTTAGAACCAGAGAGAGCAACACCACGGGACTAGGGAGGTGAATGATGAACCTCAGGGAGTTTCGGGGGGCCAGGGGTCGCCTCACTCTCTGAAGCCTTCTGTCTCTTTCCTGCCTGGTTGCTGAGCTAAGCTGGGGGCGAAGTGAGGTCAGCCGAGGGAGTTGGTGGGTGCTGGAGGCGACAGGCAGACAAGGAGGAGGCAGGCAGTGCAGGCTCCTGCGCGGGGTTGTCTGGCCTACCTCCCCTCCTCCTCACCAGCCACAGCTTTGTTTTGTCTGACTCCCTCGCCAGCCTGGAATTCCTGGGGGCTGCATTCCCTCCAGACGCTTGTGGTTTCTGGTGCACGGGGAGATTCCCTGGCTTGGTCCCTGGCTCCATGGAGCAGCACCTGGCGGGGTTCCTGGGAGCCAAGGGAGAGGAGCATGAGGCTGTCTGAGGCTCTACAGTGGCCTCTGAAGCAGAGAAATGAGCAGAGAAAATCCCCACAGATTCCAGCGTGATAAGGCAAAGGCTGCTCTCAAAGCCCGAGTAGAGCCTGGTGCTTACACATAAGCCAGCAGGGAGCTGGGCCGGCTCTGAAGATGTCTGTGCAGTCTGCAGACACAGCCCTGGGTCACCCTCAGGGACAGAGCATTGCATGCCACGCCAGGAGATGTCAGAACCAGGTCGTCAGGCCCGAAGCCCATGACCAGTGAGCCCCTTCCTAGTGACTGAGGTCTGAGCACGTGTGCAGCTGTGAACAAGTGAAGGGCCCCAAAGAAAGAGCGGAGCACAGCGGCCCCTGGGAGCCCAGTGACGCTGGGAATCACAGAGATTTTATACCGGGGGAGCGGGTGCAGGGTTTTGCACACACTCGGACTTTGGGATCCGTCCCGAGGCAGCCGGAAGCTTTGTACTCCGATGTCTCCAGATCCCGGAGGCTGGGCAGAGCAGGGCCAGCCGTGGCAGGCAGATGCAGCCTGCACCTTGAGGAGCTCCCAGGAAGACAGGGGGGCATGGCCAGGTCCACGGTGCCTGGAGAGGACAGAAGCCCCGGGCTGGACGGGGCTGCATGAGGAACAGCTGATGCAGAGAGGGGCAAGCAGGGTCCAGGCACGACTGACAGGAACACAGGGGAATGCAAGCCGTGGCCTGCCACCGAGCACCTGCTGGGCTTCAGCTCCTCCCCCAGGGGACAAGGTGACAGCCCCGCCGCCACAAGGGACACGGCAGGGCCCAGTGGGACTCTGCGCCCTACAGACATCGCGGCGGGAGCTAAACACAGTTTGATGGGCAGCGTTGGCCACGGGCAGCAGATGCAGGCCCTGGTCCGGCCTGCGCCTCCTGAGCGAGTTCCCTGCAGCCCCTTGCCGGGACGTGAGGCCCATCGGAGGGGAAGACGTGGAGGGCGATGGCCAGGGCAGAGAGGCCGGCCTGGTACTGGCTGCAGGTGGCTGGGTCCCAGCAGGCCCAGCGTCCTCCCAGTGTGCAGCTCGCGGCCTCTCCACCCGCCTTGCTCCTCTTGCTCACGGTTGGTTTTCTCCCCTCTCATGTTCCAGCTCCCTCGGGAACAGAAGCGAGTCTCTCCGTCCTGCTGGCCTGGCCCTTCTGGCGCCAGCTGCCCTCGTGCTGCATCGGTTTCCCCATGCGGTGTCTCCCTGGTGGAGCACACAGTGTTTGTGGGCGAGATCTCATCTCCTTCACAGACTCAGGGCAGCAAATGTCTGCTGCAGGGTGAGGAAAAGAGTGAGGATGCTTTCCCGAGGCCCTCCCTTTGGACAGAGGCTTCTGAGCTGCCCCAGTCTCTTTGTGGACCAACAGGAACATGGAGCCTGGTGCATCAGGGCATTGAATGTGGTGCCCGCAGTCCCCAGAATCGTACAGAATTCCTTTTCCTGGCTGTGATCCCAGGGCAAACTATGTAGGCCTCCTGCCAATGAGATGAAGTGAGCGTATCTCCTTACATGGGCAGCTCAGGTACTGGGGGGGGAGGTTGCTGCTGTGCTGGCAGCCAGTGTCACATACCGGCCAGGCCTACCATGTTGGAACTTGTTATGGTTTAAATCTAGAAGGTCCCCTAAAGTCTTGTGTGCTCAGTGGTGGGGCTTTGGAAGGTAGTTGGATCATGGGGTGCTGCACTCAGCGGGTTCATGGAGTCACAAGCTATGGAGCTCAGTTTACAGTTTAAAGGTAGGGACTGACTGGAGGCAGGTCGCTGGGGCTGTGACCTGGGGGCATTCAGCTATTGCTCCTGGCTCCTCCCTTCTTCCACTTCCGGGCCACCATGATGTGAGCAGCTCTTTCCCACCAGGCCCTTCCTGCCTTGCAGTCAGCACCCCAGGGGCTGAGACTCTGAGCCACGTTGAGCCTCTCCTCCTTTAAGCTGGGATGTCAGTGTGTCCCAGGTATGAGGAGGTGACTAAGTCAGAGCTGACCTTCTTGTCACTGATGCTCTGTGGTGCAGGGTCCACCTCAACCTTGGGAGAGCAATGGCTTCCTGTGGGGACCCATTACAGCCGGTTGAATCCAATCTGGGGGAGTGGTACAGTACTCAATTTCAGGTGTCGACATGGCCAGGCTATGAGTCTGACATCAGGCCAGACGAGAACAGGTATTTTGTCCATGTATGAACATTTGATCAGTGGGGGTTATGAAAAAGAGGTTCCTTTTCATAACGTGGGTGGGCTCAGTCCAATCAGATGAGGGCCCTGACAGCAGTCCCGAGGCTGCTCTGAGGAGAAGTGATTCTGCCTCACGTGAGCAACATGGGAACTCATGTTCCCAGCCTGCTGTCCCGTGGAGCTCAGACCCAAGATGGTGGTATCAGCCCTTCCCTGAGTTTCTTCCTATGGATGTCACAGTTGCCTGTCCTCACAGTCGGGAGAGGTTGTTCCTTAAAATACCCCACCGCCTCTCTCAAGCCCTCCTGGTTCTGCTTCTCTGGAGAAAGCCAACACCAGCAGGGACTGGGAGGTGAAGGCTAACTTGCCTGCCTGCCTGCCTGCCTTCCTTCTTTCCTTCCTTCCTTCCTTCCTTCCCTCCTTCCCTCCTTCCCTCCTTCCTTGACAGGATCTCCTTATGTAGTTCAGGCTGGCCTTGAACTCACAGCAATCCTCCTGCCTCAGCCTCCTGAGTACTAGGATCGCAGTGGCAGTGAGCCCAGCAGAGTAGCCTCCTTTTCCCTGAACATGTCACAAAGCCACCCTAACCCATCCTCTGCTATCCTCTGCACCGGGGCGCACTTTGTCCTAGTCTAGTTCTGGCTCTTTCTGTGACATTCCCGAACGCCATTCACCCTCTCTGAAGCTCACTGCTCAGTGTCTGCTGCGAACCCTCTATAGCACAAGCAAACCTTGGGAGGAACAGGATGCAGCTCAGAAGCAGATCATACAATATAAAATTTATTATAAAATTCAGCACATATAAATATCCAGGTGCCTGTGTGCAAAGGCGCCACGCTCCAGGCAGGGAGACCAGAGATTAGCACCACTGATGACGGAGTGGGGAGGCCCTCTGGGAAGGCTGCTGCCCTTCCTTCTCCACCAAAGTTACGGAATAAATTTAAAAATTAAAAACCCCTCAACACAACCACAACAAAACCCAGGGCACAAGGCCATGATCACAGCAGCTGCTTGGTGGCCCGACTCTGGGTGACGGCCGCGTAACCTGAACTTCTGACCGACCGCGTGAGAGGGAAAAGCACTGGAAGTGGGTTTGAATAGGAACGCTCTCTGGTAGATAACTGGGGAAGATAAAGCCTTAAGCGTCAAGGTCTCCCCAGCACATGAGCCTGAAGGAGCAGGAAGCGCAGGGCAGGGATTTCACTTTCCAGGCTGCACAGGCCAAGTCCTGAATCGGAAGGCCTGGGCTCCTGCGGCTGAGCCTGGGGAGAGCCTGCACCTCGGCCCGCCTCCTGGTGGGACCCTCCTGGGGGGGCGGGGCTGGCCTACCTAGCAGCAGCTATTCTGCACGTTTTCCTACTCTTGTGGCTTTCCCTTCTTTTTACAAAGCACCAGACACTTAGCCTTTAGTAAGTCCACCTGCGCTGTCCTTCGGACTTGGTGTGGGGGAGCCACAAATCTGGCTGAGAGCTGCTGCTTGCGCTCTGCGGTACGGCTCTCTCGGCCTGCATCTGAGCAGGAGCGACCCACGTTTCCACTGGACAGGACAGCGTGTGTGCTGTGGGCACAGCCATGCATCTGCCTCATCCCACGCACAAACACACCCGCTCCGGGCCCAGAGCCTAGCACAGTTTGCCCTTGTCCGGCTCCATCTTCGTTGGACGTGTTCCAATGCGTGCTGCACAGCCCCTTTGTGCTGATGTTCTCAGGCCATATGGCCTCTTCTCCGCGGCAGGCCCGTCCTGACTCACAGGTTGGACTTGGAGCAAGCCCTGCAGCACTGCTTGCCGTAGAACCTGTGGCTGCACATCCCGTGCTGTGGCACCAGGCTGCACCAGTGGAAGGCATCTTTGCAGAAGGCACCTGAAAACCAGCACACTCCACGTCAGCCCAGTGCTCCAGAGCATGGCAGATGCTGCACATTAGTATCTCTGCTTGGCAAATAAAAGCACACTCGCCATTGCTCCAAAGCTGCCGAAGGAGGGCGGCTCTTTGGGCCTGTAGCACTTACTCTTCCCATGGCTTAGTGGCTATGCTACTGGAAAAGTGAAGGAGGCGAAGGGAGAAATGGGTGAGGCAGACACAGGTCCCAACTCTTGGGCTCCCCAGCCAGTGGGCACCCTGTTCCTCTGAACTCCTCAGAATTCTCCAAAGCCTCTGCACCCCCCACCAAAGGCCCGGGTCCAGCCAGGCAGCCCCTCACTCACCTTTCTTCTCTTCGATGGGGCAGAAGTGGGTGTTGCAGGCTGAGGAGGCTTCTGGCTTCTGGTGCAAGGGGCAGTCAGAGGCCGGCCGGGTCCCCGCCAGGCACTGCACGGTCCTCCTCTGCACTCCACCGCCGCAGCTGGCTGTGCACTGCAGGGAGAGAGCACAGCAGTCACTGGGCTGCCTGGCTCCCTGCCATTGGCCAGGCCTCCATCGGAGGGGGCAGCACTGCAAGCTGCAGCTGCTTGCAGGGTTGGAGGTCACGACAGGCAGGGCAGTAACGCTCGGCCAGGATGCACACGGAGCAGCCCTGCTCACCCCGTTGACAGAGTGTGCTGTGCCCTGCAGGGCATCCTGAACCAGCCTGCGACATGGCTGGTGTCACCCTTCAGGGCTCAGATGGGAGCCAGGCTGTTGGGACGGGCCTTGCTCAGGTGGGGGTGTGACCGGCTGTGGCTAATGCTAAAGACGCCCTGACAGTTTCTGAGCTCAGGGGCGCTGGGGCAGAGTGAGTACAGGTGCTAAAAAAGTGAGTGCGCTGACTAAAAGAGTAGATACTTATGGATTGCTGTATTATCTCCTCACAATACAGGCAGTACAGAAAAAGACAGATTCTACGCACAATAAGTTACCCACGAGGCGTTCTTCTGGATATAAAAGCAAGAAAAACCTATTTGGCTTCTACTTGAAATCTTTGAGAGCACAGGTGGCTGATGCCATATCCAGGACCAGGGCAAAGGCACTGGGCAAAGGCACTGTCTATCCTGTGCTGGGCTCCCCCGAGTCTGCCGCCCGGGCCAGCCTGGCCTCTGCTGGCTGCAGAACCTCTGCTTCCTCTCAGCCCAAGGGTCCCCCCTTTCCCAGGCACCTCAAGGCGCTCGCTCTCTGCCTCTGACTGCCCATCAGACTCTGGGTAAGTGCAGGCGGACCAAGGCAGGCGTCCCCCTTCCCGGAAGTCTGGAGTGGGCTTGGGGAGTCTGGTGGGCACAGGAAGCAGGTGTACGTCTGGGGGTGTCAGGGTTACACTCGGAACAGCACCTTTGGGCAGTGTCCTTGTAACTGGCTCTGCAGGATGGAACTTTAAAAGTTCAATGTTTTCCTTTAGACACCAGGGACTCCTCCACTTCCCCTTGGGTCTCTCCTCCGTGCAGAATGGACAGGACCACAGACACCGGCACCAGAGGAGGTCAAGCCCAGGTTCTGTCCCTTGGGCAAGGGAGAGAGGTCTCGTCCAGGAGGGAGGTGAACAAGCCCAAGCAGGCCTGCTGTCTGTGTGTACGCCTCCCTGCTGCTCCCTGCTGCCTCTAACACTCCTGTCTGTACACGGCGAGGATGAGATTGCCCCCTCCATCTCCTCAGAGCCAGCTCTGAGCAAACCCTCTCTCCTTTTTACCAAGATAAATGGCTTCCTTTGATTTGGTCTGCGGTGAGCAAATGAACCTCAGCATAGGAACCTGGGTGGCTGCCCACATCCTGGACAGGCCTCCCTTCGAGCCCCTCCCTGGGACAGTCAGAACTCAGAGGCTGAGGAAGTGCAGCCCTTCTGGACCCCGGGTTGCTGGGCTCAGCCAGCCCACTGCCAGGTCCCGGTGCCGAGGCCTGCACATCCCAGCTCAGGAGGAGCGGAGAGCCTGGGAAGGGTAGATGTCTTTCACCAGCCGGCAGGGCACGCACAGCGCAAAACAGGAGCCCGACCCATCAGGATCGACTGCGGGCAGAGAACTAGGAGACAAACAAGTGGAGAGGCCGACACATCTGAGCCAAGGCGATGAAGCCACCCGAAAGAGGCCTGCACGAGTCTAGACTCAGTTATGTACGCAGTGCTCAGGAATGCCGAGTGCAAGCAAATTCAAGGAGCACCTTCGGAGAGATGGGCAGAGGAGCTTGGGCGTCCCGGTGTGTGGTCGGGACCCAAACAGTTGCTTCCCCGCAGGGACTGCACTGTGCAAGGCTGGGGATGCGTGTGATGCACACTGCTTGCCGCAGGTGACAGGCGGCGTGAGGCTTCCCACTGCAGGGCCACAGAAGGAGCCTGCAGCCTGCTCCCCATGGCCCACATGGCCCAGACGGGACCACCGGCACATGCAGACGAGCCTGGCTTTACCCCAGGACCTGCGGCCGTGGAGCTCTGGAAGGGACCTCAAGGGCGAGCTCAGGGACCCCAGGATGAGCAGGTCAGACTCCTGAGAGGGACGGAGTTGGGACCACAGTCTGGGAATCCCAAGCACAAGGGACTCTTTCCTTCTTTCCCTCTTCCTGTTTGGCTAAAGGATGCTTGGGCCCCGGTGCCCGTGTCTGTTGGGAGAAATTCTGAGCCGCTGACCTTTGGCTTCCAAACCAGCTTCAGCAAAAGTCATCAATAACCCAGTTTCAATAGCTGACTGTGGCAACCAGAAAAATAACGCGGAGAGCAGGTTCTGGTGTGATTTCTGAGCCATCAGGGTCCCACGTGACACCGCCGGCTGCTTCCCACTGGGCTGCATCACCCTCAGCCTTCACAGAACCCCAGCCGGCCCTTTGTTCTTCGCCCTCTGCCTGCCAAGCTCCCTCTGGGCCCACAGACCTACTGAGCGCTTTGGGGACGTGGGTGGCGGCACTGACATGGCTCTTTTGAAGCTTTCACATCAGCGCTCACGAAGTCTCCCGTCCTCCAGGCTGGGTTCTTTATCATCAGCTGAGGGGAGATTTCCACCCCGCTAAGGATGCTTGGCTGCATCAGAAATCATAAACTCTCGCCAAGGTTTTTCATTTGTCCCCGGATAGTCACTTTGGTTTGATGTTTTTTGGTCATTGGTTCCGTATTCAATAAAGAGTAATACACCTTTCCCAGGCCAGGTACAGCCGTGGCTCGGCTCATGAACGTAATTCTCCAAGAAAAAAAATATTTGCGGAAAAAACAGCCGCCAAATGTCTCAAGGTTTGCATTTCTTCAAGGATAAAGAACTAAGATATTCACTTCCAACCTTCAGAACTATTTTGAATTGATAAAAATAGTGATGGACAAAGAGATGGAAGGAAAAAAGAAACCCAGCCGTGGCTCATTCACCTCTCTTCCCAGAGGGGAAAACATGCAATGGTTCCTCACTGGCACAGACGTGAGGCACGGACTCAGCCTGGAGTTTAGAACTCACATGCCAGACTTGCGGTGGGATCGATCTGCGGATTCCAAGCAGGCTGGTGGTCAGAAGCACCCAGAGCCCTAGGCAGCCAGGCAAACCTGGCTGGAGCCCAGGGGCCAGGAGGGTAGTGAGAAGCCAAGAGGCTGCATTTGTACAAGTGTGTGGGCAGCTCCTCAGACAAAAGCAGCTTGGGAAAAATAATGCTCCGTGAAAAGAGTCTGAGGCTGGGTCTGGATGTCCAAGCTTCCGGCTTCTTCCTCCAGCTTCCTGGGAGGCAGCCTGAGCATCCGATGGACAGACGGACCTCGGGGCTGCCCCCGGCCTCTCGACCTCCCCTGGCCAGCCCGTCTCCTGTGGAGCCACCTGCCGCCCTCCAGACTCCTGGGTGTGGCTCCACCTCCAGGGTCACCCGTAGGACCGGACCCCGGGCCACGTGCGTAGGCCGGGCAGGTATGGAAGGAGCCTGAGACCCTGCATGCGGAGCGTGGGGTGCAGGTCGGGACACGCGGAGAATCCCCTTCGAAGCCCTTTGACCCTTGCCCTCCCTTTTCCTTTTTAGTTTTCAGAACAGATCAGCTGTGCGTAATCCCAGCAGGAACGGTGCACACTCAGTACATGGCCTGGGTCCAAGTGCGTGGAGAGACTGAAGCTCGCTCCCAAAGGTGCCTTTGCAGTCTGGGCTGCTCCTCACCCTGACCCTGGCCCAGCCCCACAGAGGGCCCTGTGGCCTCCTGCTCTGCTCACAGCTGGCCTTCCTCAGCAGGTGCTCACTGCCAGGCCCTCCTGTCTGGACTCCCCTGGGGGATGATGGGCAGGGATGGGTGGTGACCGTCGGGGACATTCTTGGCCTTGGAGAGACAGCTGTCAACCTCCACGATTTCAGAGAGGCACTGCAAGCACGAGAGGAGAATGGAAAAGATGACCCCTTCTGGTATCGGCAAAACCAAAGAGATGCATCTAAAGGCAATGTTTGACCCTGAACCTAATGAAAAACCTAATGAAAGCGATTCCTCTTTTCACTGGACTCCACGGAGAAATGCTAGCGGAACATGCGGCTGCCGGCCTCTGAGGGGTGACCGGTTTTCTGGGAGACAAGGCACAGGACCCAGTGGGACCACGGGCGTCTTGCAGGGCAGAGCTCGTCAGAGGAGCAGGGGATGAAAGGACAGCAGGGCACAGCAGTTCCTGAGGCGAAAGTCTCCACACTCTCGTTCCCCACAGGAAGCCCTCTACATGAGGCCCCGTTAAGTCCCTAACTTATCATCTTCCGCAGCCTTGGCGCATGCACTCTCTCCAGGTCCAGAGCTGCTGCCCACCCTAACCTTCCCACTGTCCCCGTCAATGCCCACTCGGTTCAGAAGGGGCTGCACAACTCCCCGTGGTCTTATAGGGACGACTCCTTCTGCAGGATGAGTGGGGCTGAGTTCGTGTGCCTCTCCGGTCGGTTACATCCACAAGCTCCCTGGAATTCAGGGGGCGGACGGTGGCCTCATCCAGCAATGGTGGCAGAAGACGGCGGGAGCAATTGTTAGTGTAGGCAGTGGCATGTAAGTGTACGGGGAAAGAATGTGTGTGCCCGTGTGCGCGCGCGTGTGTGTGCTCGTGCTCAGTACGGCACTGGAGTCTTAGCTGCCACAGCACAAGCCAAGTCAGGCATCTGTGCCATGGCTTCCTCCCCTGGCGGCCGAGGTTCTGCAGCCCAACTTCCATCATCCTGGTGAGCAGCCCCAGGATGGACGCACTCATCCCTGCCAGGGGAAGGGAGACAGACAGTCCAACAGGTGATGGAAATGAAGCCATTCCCAGACCTACAGCGTGGGAGCCACCTGCGACTGAGCCCCACGACCAAGATGAGTTAAGTCAAACTCGGGACTTCACCATGAGTTGCAGCAAATGGCACCCAGGAGGCAGAGAAGCCGAGGCCCAGGGGAGGTGCGTGTGTGAGGCCGAACCAAAGTCCAAACAGTGCCCGGCAGCTGGGTCTTGTTGTGCGGAGCCTGGAGGTGGGGCCAGTGCGGGCCGTCTGTGGGTGATCTCACAACACTGGAGAGCCCGCTTCTGCCCCTCACTGGTGTGTGTGGGGCCCTGTGCCTCGGTTTCCTCCTCTGTGCAGGGGTCCCGATGAGATTTTCTCCCTCCAAGGGCTGCTGGAAGCTTTTCCTGTGCTCGCCCTGGGCGCACACTGGGCCTGGGCCCCCAGGGAGAGGCGTGCAGGCTCCTCCAGGGCGCGCACAGAGGCGGCTCCAGGCCCCTCCACCGGCCTCCTCTGGCTCCCTCGCTGTGTAGGAGAGGACACCGGAGTCACGGCTGGGCAGCACAGGCAGGGATGGATGGCTGCGTGTGCCAGAGAGGCCGGTTCCCCCACACAGCCGAGCTGCAGGAGGGCAGCGGCGGCCAGGCATGCGTCTCAGCCCACCTGGCTTGATCTCGGGTCGGCCGCAGGCGGAAGAGACACGGGCAGAGTGGGGACAGGGGGGACCCACAGACTTCTGGCTTGAGGGCTGAGGCTGGGAACCCAAGAGGAATCCGCAGGAGGAGGGCGGTGGGCGAGGGGTGCTCACAGCGGGATTCCTCCCGGGATCCAAGGACTCCTGAAGGAGAAGGAGGGGGTGGCGGGATCGGAAGCCCAGCGGAAACCTCGGGGACTCTAGGCCTGGCCTGGCCTGCGCCCTGGGCCCAGGCAGAACCCAGCAGTGCTGGGGTGACAGCAGCCTTCACTTCCACATCCTCGAGGCAGTGCCTATGGCTCACCAGTGGGTCCTGGGTCCCCTGTTTCACTCCATCTACCCTCGTCTCCAGGACTCTGCCCAGATTGTACCGAATGGCGCACACCCACGGTGAGGTGAGACCCTGCACAAACCGGAAACTCGAGCCTCTTACCGGAGACCAGGGAGAGGCAAACCAGCTGCTCCTTGGGGGGCCCGCGGCGGGGCGCAGGGGGCACGGAAACGGAGCGCAGGCGCGTTCCAGCTGCAGGCCGGGCTGCGGCAGACGGGAGCACTTCTTCAAGGCCAGGTCGCGGTACTTCCCAGAAACGGACTTTTCGGCGCATGTCAGGGACCTTTCCTGGATTCCCCTTCCGCAGGAGACGGAGCACTGGGAAAAAGAGGAGGGAGGAGGGCCCTGCTGCACAGCCCGGCTGCCTGCCTCCTGGAGACAGCAGCGTGGACCTCTGTGGGCGCAGAGCCCGAGACGCGGGTGGGCTTCGGCAGTTCAAAAGGCGGAGCAGCAGCATCGCCAAGGAAGGAGGCCGAGGTGGTCAGGTCAGAGCCACCCAGCACCGGGGGAAGTGGGGCAGGGCAGTCGGAAGCCGGGAGGGAGTGACTGCAATGCTACTGGGGAGCTGGACCCGGCTCTGACCTGACAACCCAGACCTCTCCCACACGGGCGGGCATGGGACATCGCTGAGCGGATTCCCCACACAGCTGCGGGCACGCTGCGGCCCCAAGCGCGGAGGCGGGCGGAAGCAGCTCGGCTCCCAGAGCTTCCCCAGAAGTCAGCGCTGCCTGGGAGAAGGAGCACACACAGCTGCGACCTCCTCCCCTATGAACAGCGAGGCCCTGCAAACCCGTCCAGCAAGGGCGACCCACAAGAGCTGCGCTCTGCTGCAGGAGGGCCGGGCTCGGGGGTCTGCGGACAGCGCTGGTCCTCGTGCCGGGGTCTGAGGGCCCGCACAGCAGCTCCGCCTCGACCTCACCTTCCCATCCCTGGGTCCCCGGTGTGCTGCCTACGCCCGCTGCCAGGACAGAGACGGACTGAGGACACGAGGGCCTCAGCGAAAGCCCTGGTGTGCACGCACGTGTGTGTTGTTTGTGCACGTGTGTAAATAGGGAAAAGGCTTTCTCTCGGACACAGCCACAGGCTGCACAGCGCAGGGCTCCAGGGATCCGCATGGCGGTTCGGTCCTTTCTAATGACAGCGCTCTGTGGTCCTGAGATGCCCCTTCCTACGCCCAGGTGACAGGGCTGGAGTGCTCCCTCAGCAACGGCAAGCTGACTTCAGCCAGCAACAGTGTTTTATTTCTAAGTGGCAAACCGTGTCTCAAGTGGATGAAATGCCCTGCTTGGCAAACTACATTCTAAACATGGCATTGTTTGGGGTGCTTCTGTGGGCTGGGAGGTTCCTGGGGTCCTTTGGGGCTCTCAGGGCCACACCTAGTCAGGGAACCTCACCCCTAAACTCAATATTCCACCCCGGGTCCCAGTGTGGCGGGGCTGGGCAGCCCTGGGCATGGATTCCAGTGGTCAGCACAGGAGCTTCTGCAGATGCCCAGGCTGCCCGTGAAACTGGCCTCAGTATTGGGCACACTGCTCTGTCTGATAACGCAGCCTCTTCCTGCTCTGTGCTGGACGCCCGCCTCCTGGAGTGAGACTCCCAGGAAAGTGGGTGTTGCCAGAAGGCAGATGTGGGGAGAGGAGCAGGAAGCAGGACCAGAGCCCGACCCCAAGGCCACGCACCTGGGACCAGGCGGACACCAGCCACTGCAGCTTCTTGCGTTTGTGGCAGCGCTGGAGCAGGCAGGCTTCGTGTGTCCTGGGCTTGGGCTCCGCCATGCACATGGCATCGGGCAGCAGCTGGGCACGGGCTGAGGGGTCGGTGCTCTTGCAGACCACGGCCCTCTTCTTCCAGCCCTTGCCACAGGTCCAGGAGCACTGCACACATGAGCAACAGCAAGGCAGCTCCAGCTGAGGTGCAGGCGCTCAGGCCCTTTGTCCCAGTGGGTGGGCCCAGCCCTCTGCCCGCTCAGCCGTGCACCTACCTCTGTCCAGGGCCCCGTGCTCCACTCGGGCGGGCAGCCCTGAGGGTTGCAGGCCTGCCAGCTGGGGGGCACAGGCTGTGGGCACAGGCTTCCCTCCACTGGCTCCGAGTTGAAGTGTGCCTGCCGGATGCACTGCACACGTCGGCTCTGAGTGCCCCCACCGCAGGTCCGGCTGCAGGTGCTCCAATTCCCCACAGACCAGCTGGAGGGCAGAGCACACAGCTGTGAAGCACTCCTACCTTTTAAATACACATGGAGCACTACTGTGCCACAAAGAAAGGTAAACTAGAGTCATCTGTAGGAAAATGGATGCACCTTGAGACCACGCGTTAAGGGAAATAATCAGACATGCAAGCTTAAATACCGCATGATTTCTCTCACCTGAGAAACCCAAAGTATAAATAAAGAAAGAACAAAATGAAAGGCAGATAACAGGAGACAGACAGATAGATTTTTTGCAAATGGGAAGAGGAACAAAGATGGACGGGGAGGAGGGGATGTAAAACAAATGAAGATGTGTTATGTACAGGTACCGAATTCCCAACACAAATGTGACCACTACATCCTGCAAACAGGTACAAAAAATTGTTTAGAAATTGAAAAGGACAGAAATCGGTCCATGTGACCCTAAAACAAGGGGACAGGGTCCTTCCTCAAGAAGGTATGTTGCGCTAGTGGTGGCCAGTGCAGTTTTCCAGCTGCTGTGTAGACAGACCATGCTGTCTTCAGGCGTGGAGCCCTTTCTGCCCAGGACTCAGGCCTCAGACTGCTCACTCCTCCCCTCCTTGCTCGGGGCCCTGCCACCCTTCCCTTCCACTGGCTTTGCTTCCACCATCTCTGCAATTAACCCACTCCAGAGCAGTGTGGCCATGTGGCTGTTCTGCCTCTACCTTTTTTAAAACCCCAAACTTCCAACACATACAACATATACATATACCTTTCCATTCCTGTCCACCACACCTCAGTAATTGCCACTCTAGTTTCTCAGCACTTGGAAGCACATTTCAGATGTAAATATTCCAATGTGAATCTCCAAAGAATAAGAAGAAACCATGACCGCAATATCATTAAGACATTAAAAAACAAAAGCAAGGGTTGGCATTACTGTAATTGTCCAGTGTTTGAATTCTTAACAGTGCCATGAAGGTCTTAATTTAATCTGCTTGTTAAAGCAAAACCCAAATTAAACCCACACTTTGCAGTTGGTTTTTCTTCTCCTTTAGTCTACACATGATTCCTTAATCTTTTTTTAATTCAATATTCATTTAGTAAACATTTATGTATGCATCATCACAGACCAGGTTCTTTATGAGATGAAAATGTATCAGGACAAGCTACCAAATATTAAGGTGTTTATAACATATCTAGATTTTTAACTTATTTATTAGTATATGGGTTTTTTAATTAATTTTAAAAAAATTCTTAAGTTCTTTTATTGGTACATTTTAGGTATACAATACATTTGTCATTGATTCCTTAATCTGAATCTTGATTTTCCTACTCAATTCATTTGGGACAGAAGCTGGGTGGCTTCTGTCCTGAGTCTTCCACAGATGTTTTTTCCAATTGCAGGGTTTTGTGAAGAACATCTCTGTGGTGTCATTTAACATATTCCTCTGCCCTAGGTCATCTCTATCCATTAGCAGTTGGACCTAGAGGCTTCTAGAGGCCTTATTCAATTTGGATCCCATTTGTTTTAATGACTGTTTCATTAGGGATAATTGCTCTTCTAGTAGGAGGTCCACAACAGCTGAGCATCTTTCACTGGATTACCAGTTGTTGACAGTTGACAATGTTTCCCTCAAAGCCACATTTTTATTTGTCTTTTCTGCTTATAAAAGAATTCCTTGTCAACAGGTGTGCAGGGAGGTGATGGAATGGGGGATGGGGGTGGCCTGAGGCCAGCCCTCCTGCAGCCCCGCTGGGTCCCTGATGAGCCTGGGATGCCTACACGGCCCTCAGCTAGCTCTGCACCCACCCACCTGCAGATGCCAGGGGAGGGGCTTGGACACCTCAGCCAGCCAGTAGGCTGCAAGAAGACTTGATTTTCACTCCCACTTATCTTCTGGTTCTGCCCTCTATGGGCTACAGCAGCAGGTGAGGAGACATCTCCCCACACTGGAGACCCGTGGAAGACTCTGGAGCCCACCTAGGAAACCAGGCAGACAGCACTGCAGGGAAGGAGAAGGATGAATTCCCCAGGGCTGGGCTGGGAGCACAGCTAGGGGAACCGCTTCCTCCCGGACCAGGTTTCCTGTGCAGGACATGACAGAGAGGGCAACACTCGGGGACAGCAGAGCTGGGAGCTGCCCAGAGCAAGCACCTGCTATCTCAGCGCCACAGCGTTTCTGAGCAGAGTGACGGCGAGTGACACCAGCTGCTGGCAGGAGATGAATGAGCCTGGTCCCCCACGTCTCTCCAGTGACATGCTGGCTGCCGGACCGTGAGCCTAAAGCAACAGGGCCAGTCTGTCCTGAGCTGGACCTCTGAAACTAGGCCAAACAAACCTTTCCTCCGCAGTCAATTGATCTCAGGCATTTGTTACAGTAGCAGGATGCTGACTAGCGCTACAGTCATTAGCGAACTCTCAATGAAATGCCTTTTTTCCCTTTTTAAAAAATGAACATGACACTTCAGTTTTGGCCATGTTGGTTCATGGTTTCAGGGGATTCAGTCCATGCTCAACTGGTTCCAAGGCAGGAACATCACAGTGGAAGGGCATGGTAGAACAAAGCTGCTCAGTTCATGGTATTTGGGAAGCAGAGCAGGGCAACGGGCCAGAGAAGAAGGGGACAGAGGCCGGAGACTGGATATAGTACCCAAGGTCAGCCCTCCATGACTCTCCCAGAAGTGTGCTCTACCAATCCACTACGGATTTCTTAATCCAATGATGTTGATGTATCAGAATCAACGATCAGTTCTTTTCTCCATTGGTTCTTGTTGGAGCTGCTGTATTTTCAGGAGTGACTCCTGGCCTCTGTGTGGATGACTCTCTGCTCCGAAAATAATGATAACACAGAGCTGTCACAACACACACCTTCTGGAAGCCTTGATGAACACTAGGTTGTCACAGCGTGAATCAGCTCCAGAGAGGGGAGTCCTGGCTGCTGTGGAATCATGACGGTTGAGCTGTAGCATTTGCTATGAGCTGGTTCTTTGCATCCCTGATAGACCTGGGTGCATGGTGTCCTCAGCATATCTGTCGCAGGTTTCAGGCAGACTGTTCCTAATTAACCAAGGCCCTCGCTTTACTTCCCTAAAGGAGCTCTCATGACCTCCAGGACTACATGCAGACACACTCTCATGGCCCAGTGGTGAATTTGGTCTGGCGGGGTGGGATTGGTGGAACTTTGAAGACACAACTTTGTCATCATATGAGGAACTACAGCATTTTCACATGTGTGAGTAATTGGAGATCTACCACACTTTTAAATGAAATGTTTTAAATATTGAACAATAAACATATGTCTCTTTGAAACCACTGCTTTTTCATTGGGAAAACCCCCAAGTTAACAAGTTAAAGCCTGTGGGCAGACTGTAAGTGGGGGCACAGGTCAGCAGAGCTCGGCAGAATAGGAAGGAGGGCAGCTGGTCCCTTCAGCCCTTTCGGTAGATGGCCGAGGTCTCTGCCCGCTGTCCTCACTGGCTGGCGTCGGCATTGACAAGGGCGCTTCACTGGCATTGTATCCAAGTAAGATCAGAGGTGGAAGTTGATCTCTGAAAGAGGCAATGACCTTGGGAATCAATGTGTGCTTGAGAGCTGCAGATAGAGCCAGGGTTACTGGACAGGTTGAACTGTGCTTGCCTCTGCTCACTGCTAGAACAGAGCACTCAAAGTCTCCATGTCCCTCTGGGGTCCAGCAGCAAGTACGTCAGGAATGGCACAGCATGGTGAGCATGCCCTCCTACCTCCTCCTCGCCACAGCTGGTGAGCTGTGTGCTGGACACTGCCATTTGTGGGCCCCAAGTGGTGTCCCAGGACACATCTCCCAGCAGTAAAGGTAAGGTCTGCTTGCATTTATGGCACAACGGAGAGCCCACGACTGTCAACTGGCTGGCAGGAACAGGGCCTGGAGACCAGGACTTCTTCTGCACTTGGAGGCTCACAAGTGGACCTTCCCTTCATTTTCCAAGTCGCACCTCTGTCTTTGACGTGTGAAACTGAAGGGGACACTCACAGTGAGCCAGACACAGAAGTGGGATCATTTTTCATCTCTAAATGCAGGATTCTCTGCTAAAAGTACCCAAAGCCAAGCTGGGAGACATCAAAGGCTTCCTCCAAGGGAAGCGCTGTGGGCATTAACTTCGTGAACTTAACTTCATGAACTGTGGAGCCAAAGGCATGTGAAGTTTTCCTGCTGGAGGCCAGCATGCTGGTTTTACCAGGTCTCACGCTCCTGTCATAAAAATCTTATTTTAAAAAGAACCAGTGAGATCCACAGAGATTTGTTTACACAGGGAAAACGGAATAAGGAGAGACACACAGGGAAGAAACCAGCCTGTGTTCAAAGAGCCTTAGAAATTCTCCACTTGTAACCCAAATCCTTGATCTGCAGCTTCTGTCTGCAGAAGGCTGGCTGTTGTATTCTGTCCACTTAAACAAAACACTCTGCCTCATCAACTTTAAAAGGAAAACCATTCGATCCTAACAGACGATGAAACTGTGGCTCTCTGAGTCCACCCTTTTACCCAGTTTCCACAAAAAACTGGAAAAGGAGGGCAGTGTTGGAGCAGAGAGTGACACAAGTGTGATCTTGTCTACCAGCCTTGTCTTCTGGGTGGGGAGAAAGCCCAGGCAGCGACAGTGGCCAATCAAGGGGTGCGTGGAGACAGGGCGGAGGGACAGAAGTCGCAGCACTGACTCCCACAGCAGGGCACGCAGGGGACAGTGTCCATGCATTTGGGTTGTACCCGCTCAGGGCTGGAGACAGGGGCTTCTGGGTGTGTCCGGTCCCTGGCGCATTCTCTCGTGCTGACCTCTTGCTCAGCTTCCTGGCTGCCATGAACTGAGCGTCCTGCACCTTCATGCTCTTCTGACCTTGCAGCCAGCTGTGGAAGGCTGTGATACTGGGCCCGTTCACCCTGGGGACAATGCTTGCGTTGCCGAGGTTCCTCTAACACTGCCTGCCACCCAGACACGCAGTGGGTTCCCACGGGTGCCGCCGCCATAGCTTCCTATGATAGACTCCCGGCTTCCATCTC